TTGAGTCTGCAGTCATTTAGTAGTTTCCATAAATACGGGCGCCAATATAGACCCCAACATACTATAACCCGTATTAGTGGGATTGGGGCCCCGAAAAAGGTACCCCTATTTTAGGGAAGCCACAATTTCTGAAGCTCTTCAACATAAGCTGAATATTCAATTTGTTCATCTATGTCTGGACAAGCAAGTCTTGCTTACTGTGGATCATCAAGCAGTCAATAGCGGACTTCAGAGTTACCCAGGTGCTCAAAGGCCTATGAGGTCTCGCTGAAATTTCTTGTTGTGTGATAAGACCCCGCTCCAGGAAGGACTTTAAGCACGTTACGATCATGAGGAAATCCGCTTATTTACTAGATACCCATGTGTGGTAACCATGTTTTGGTGACTTGATCTAAGTTCCTTCACGGCAACCAGTAGAGGCAGCAAAGCAAATCTTGAGCGCCAGTCCTTGCAGCTCGAGTGGCAGAGGAAGAAAAGCACCAGATTTTCCTTGTTGCTGCATTAGTCCGAGAAAAAAGTGGCACACAAATTGAGACGTATTGAACAGTTAACATGGTGCCAGAACCCGAGGCCTGTAATTGCAAAGGTATGTGGACTCTTTTCTAAGAGTGCAGCATGAAAAATTGATTCACCCGAAGAAAAATCAGACAAGTCATCATTGCGGTGCTCTAACCCTTAGCCCTAAATTGTAAATGAAGCACCAATCCTAAGCCCTACAAGTCTTGTGCGCCCTACACATCTACTTGCGTAACCCCAAGGACCTATAGTTTGGTAGTAATCACGCTTTCGATTCACTATAGCCTTGTAGTCATTACTCTCTCATCAGTAGATATAGCCCATAAAACTGTAGGTAGCTGGAGTTACGGTTATGAGCCCTGCACTTTCCAGAAGCCCTAAAAACCCCCAAACCCTAAACCCTACCCATCTCCAGTCTTCGGTGGAGTCGCTTTCTCCAAGAAGATTTTCCCAGGACCTGGAGTCTAGTGTCTAGGGTTTAGGGTCTAGGGTTTGGGGTTTAGGGTTTACCCAGGGCCTGGTGTCGGGTTAAAGAGCTAGGGTTTGGGGTCTAGGGTTTGGGGTGTAGGGTTTACCCAGGGTCTGGTGTCGGGTTAGAGGGTTATATAGGGTTTAGGGGGATATATAGGGAGAATGGAAAGAAAATGGAAGCTACTATTATGTCAGGTTTAGGGTTACATAAGTGTTTAGAGCTTACCTTCGGCCCCCAAGACCTTCAGTTTTAGGATTTCATAAGAAGACTTCAACTATGGGGTCCTAAAACTGAAGGGTTTTTGGGTCTAAGGTAGGGTGTAGATTCCTGGGCTATCCAGGACCGGGGCCTGGCGTTTTGCAGTAGAGGCTTAAGGGTTAGGGGGTTAAGGGTTGAGGGTGAAGGGTTGAGAGCTTAGGGGTACTTAAGGATTCAGGGGTCAGGGTTGAGGATTTAGATTCCTGAACTTCTCAAAAACTGGCTAGAGGGATACATGGGGTCTAGGATTAGAGTTGGGGTTTAGGGAGACGTAGATTCTTCTGAGTAACCAATGGAGCCAATAACAGAGGGATTTTGTAGCTAACCCTTTGGTATGTTTACCTTCTTAGAGTGTCTAGGTAACGAGGATATGTAGGGTTTAGCGGTGAGAAACTCTAGAATTATGAGGGGTTCTCACAACAGGAAAGCCTTGCGGACCCCAGGGATATACACACGGGCCCCATTGATGCACCAAGTGAGGCGGACTCCTTAGGAGTAATTTTGAGGAATTCTACCGTGTCATATAGGCGGTTGTCAAAATTATGGTCTCTTTTTGGGTACCCTATTATAATACGGCACCTAATATTCGGGTACCCCAAAAAAGCCCTTATTTTGACAACCACCCATATGAATATGGATTCGAGGCTAAGGGCGTTCTTCCTTTCTGAGGCTTCTCAGATTGAGAGGAATTGGTCTGACATGGCGTTTCCCAAATTGGCGATACCTTTTTTGGGGTCCCTGTAATGTTTGGGTCCCCTTATGTATGGAAACTACCACATGCGTAGGTCGTCTAAACTCCTGAGTACGCATCGCTTTTGGGTTGAGGATGCTACGTGAGGGAAGGATTCAAAGCATAGCTGCTACAGACAGGCTCTCCTAACTTACTGAGTCATGCCGGCCTCATCGCGGTAAGCATCCTGCCATGCTACAAGTTTCTACCAGTATACTTGCAGTTGAGTTTGCTTCATAACTGGATTTATATCCAGTAGTACTATGGTAATAGAAGTACTATAGCTGGTCATACGTATGCCGCTTAGGGGTATGTACTTAAAGCCCACTAGACTTGAAAGACTCTTTACCCAGACCCTCCTATGTAGTTCCTTTTTGAGTAGTATATTATAATCCCTTACCAAAAAACCATAACAGACCCAAAAGAGGAACTACATTGGAGCCCTTGGGTGAACCATAAACCTTGAACCCTTTCGAGCCCTCGTCTGCCAGGATGGTTCCAGTTCTGAGGAGGTGAAGGTCATGGAGGACATCGAGGCCGCTCTTTGCCTGCTGTTGAGAACTCTTTCCTCCGAAATATTGAGTGATGATGGCTCACTTGGGGTTTAGGGTTTAGGGTTTAGGTTGGGGTAATGGAGAAGAAAATGGAAACTACTATAATGGGTTATATAGGGATTATAGGACCAAAAAAAAGTTTCTTTCGCAGCTTGCTCAGTATTACAGTAGGTGAAGGTGGAGGAGTGGAGGATCCGGCTTTGAAGAAGTACATGCATGAGAAAGGAGCCGCATACAGGGCCTGTCTTAGTGGGCCTCTGGAGTTCCTGCAAAGAACCAGACACCCCTTTGGAAGGCCTAAGCCCGAAATAGTAGTTTCCATTTTCTTTTCCATTGTTATTAAGCAACAGGTGGCATACAGTTCCCGTGCAGTTAAACTGGGGTTTGTAGGTCTCTGGGATGTCTCATGATCACATGAAGTCTACTTATATAACAGGGTAGCGGAAATGTAGAAGAATCATGAATACCCAATTGCATGTATAATCCCTACATACAGCAGTGTGCATGTTAAAGCAGGGTGATTTCCCAGTCGATTCTCCATTCTAGGGGTAATATCCCCATGAGTCATAAAATCTTCATGTAATCCCCACAAGCTCCTAAACCTTAAATACCCATCTATAGTCCCTGTTTAGCCAACGAGAAAAAAAGCTGCCTTCTCCATCGGTAGCTTGTGACAAGGCGAACATCACTCCCTACACGGATGCATTATCGCAGTGGTGGGCAGGCGCGTGATGTTCATAGTACAGTAAGCTGACGCGATTGAGGATAAGCAGTACTTGGTGGGAATTTCCAAGAAGTCTAGCACTTTGGGCTTCATTTTTCCATTGAGGAGGCCAGAATTGACGGTTTCAGCGGGGATGGGACTGTCAGCAAGAGTACTCGTAATCAAAAATGTTGACCCGAGTCTCGTTCGCAAGGATCATGGCCTCAGACTCAATTTGGGACCTCAAAGGATGCCTATCAGAATCAGCATGACGAAGAGCGCCGATGCTCGAAAGTAATTCATGAAAACTGCAAGTTTAACTGATCTCTCAGGCAGGCCCTAGAATTTCTACCACCTTGTAGTATCATAGCCCCATTGAACTCACTGGTAGGGAACAGGTGTGGTCAAACATCAGGGAGACGTTGCCGCCCTGGCTTTGCCTGTGTGGCTCTAGCCTCAGGCATGAGGCCAGCCCCAAGATCCCGGCACTCCTCCATCAGATGGCCCCTTGTCCTTCTGGCCTTTTCCTTGGGGAGCCCCTGTGGCATGCCGCGTCCGCCTGCGTGGTGGAGGGCCGGGCACCCGCGGCAGCGTCCGGGAAGCATCGCAGAGGCCGAACTCCTTTCGCACCTAGCGGTGCTGCTTCAGCCCGAGGAGCCCAGGGTCCGGTTCGGGTTTCAAAGGTAGAGGCACAGCAACTTTGGGGGCCAGTATGTCACCAGCAGAGTATATATAGATCCTGGTTTAAGGCACCGGAAGCGGTGAATCGGAACGAGCTAGGAGTCACAGGCTGTGAGTACAAAAACTGTTGCTGAGGTGTGTTCAGCATTCGAGCTCTCTTAAACAGCCATCCTCTGAAGGGATAGGGCGCTTATCTCGGCTATCTAAGCCAAGGGAACCCAGGAGCCCATTGGGGAGCTCTTCCGGAACTTCCCCACTCAGCGGAGTGAGAGATGGGGCAAGAAGATCTTGAGTCCAGACATAGCTGTGTATGGTGCTCTGAAGCAGAAGGATGCTGCGCTATTCCTGGAGTATGATGGGTACTACCGACACCACACTCCTGCCGGCATGGCTGCCGATATTCGCAAAAGTCAAGCGCTCTTGCAGTACGCTCCCGCCGGCTCATACGTGCTGCGAATTGCCCATGCCCATCGAGGGTTAAAGCTAGCATGCGAGACAAGAGAGGTTGTTGTACATACATGGCAGCTGCGGTGTTCCACAGAACTTACAGACACCATGCATCAGGTTATTACATCATTGATGATAAATCTTCGGGAAGCACTGAATGCTGGGTGCAGGAGAAGACTGCAAGGATTCCTCGATGATTCCGCAAGCTGCTCATGGGCAGCAGCAGTTGGTTTTACTCGGCAAGCACTAGCAAAGCACATGGTGGGCAGTAATGTTTCTCACACGCATCGGCTTCTGCACATCTATTTGAACGTATCCCTGTCACAGGCCGAGGAGCTAGTGAAGAAGCACCCTGTTCTAGCATCGCATAGTAGTGAAGACAACATCAGGCCAGCCGCGCAATTCCTGGAAACCCTGGGCCTCAAGAAGGCGGAGGTTTCCAAGGTGATTTCTCGATGTCCAGCTGTTTTGGGATATAGCATCGAAGACAATCTGAAGCCCACAGTGCAATGGC